CTAGTGTATTTTGTTTCAGAGGAGAGTCCTCTGGTGTTTTATTTTGGACGCCTACTGGAACCATCCTGTCCTGTTTTTGTAAATGTTTTGATATTGTCTGCTGTCTTCGGGGCATTCAGTAGTTATTTTTCTCGTTTACTGATTGTAGATTTGTTTCATCCCTTTTTTTGTAAAAATTTGACTGTGTCTGAGCAGGCGGACTGTGTGTTCTCTGTTGTTTGCTCATCTGTGGATGAAATACTTTTCGCCTCCTTCTCCAATTGGCAGGGTCAGTCACTCAGATATGGTACGGCAGGGCAGGTCTTGCTGAAAAGGAGTTACTGGGACGGGTTGTTTGTGGCCCTTACTAGAGCCACCAGGGTGGGTCGGTAATCAGTGCAGGGCAGGTTCCAGTAGGCTGTGCCTGTGCTGCTTGGTGGTGTGATGTTAAGCTCACAGTGTATGTTTGCAGTATGTAGCGGGGAGATTGTTACGTGTTGAGCTAAGATGGATATGGGAGAGAGGAAGAGGAGCCAAAAACATACAAACAAAGAAAAAAGAATGCTAGGGGAGCTTGCCGTTGGAGTGGAGAGATGAGAGAGTATGAAATGGAGAAAAACAGAAAGGGGAAGAGGACAAAAAGAAAAGAATGAATAAATAAAAATCGGAAAGGTTAAAGAACCACAAAGTTCCTAGGGATCCCACTGGTGCAGCTATGAGGTCTGGGGAAGTCGCTGTCAGGTTGCAGTACAGCCTGGCTAGAAGGCCTAGAGGTATACAATGCCAGGTATTCAGGGAACAGAAAGAGAAGGAAGATATAGAGAGATGAGAAACTGAATAGTGAAGAAAGACAAAAAGGGAAATAGAGGGAAAAGAAATTAAAAAAAAAAAAGAAGAGCCGCCAAAGAAACGGGGAAAAAAAAAAAAAACAACGTAAAAAGAAATGCTCTCAGGGATCCCTCTGCACGACTGTGGAAGCCGAAGGGGAGTCTCCCTGCCACGCAGCTCAGCCTGGCCAGAAAGGGCTCCCAACTCAAGAAAAGGAAAAGAAAACAAGCAAACATTTCAAAACAAACAAACGAACAAAAGCCCCGGGATCCCACCAGCGTGGCGGCGCAGACCGGGAAAGAGCTCCACACTTGAACGGAGCTCCACAGCCCCTCAGGACGAAGCAAAGATAGCGCGCGGAGTCAGGTGTTTGAGCGACAGGAGCGGGAGGTGGTGAGAGGTAAGGAGGAAATCAAAAGAAGCAGAAAAAAATGCAACACCAGCAGCCAACAGATGGCACTCAGAGACCCAGCTAGTGCAGGCTGGTGGATTCCAAGCAGCCCGTGTTCCTTGGTGAGGTGTGTCTGTGGGAAGCAGAGGGGTCTGAGTGTGGGTGAAGAAGGGTAGGTAGTGGGAAAGTATGTATCACAAATTACCGTAGCTCTGCAGCCCCTCAGGAAGAAGCAAAGATGGCACACGAGCCAGGTATTTGAGCGAAAGGAGGGGGAGGTGGTGAGAGGTAAGGAAGAAATCAAAAGAAGCAGATAGAAGCAACACCAGCAGCCAACAAAAGGCACTCAGAGAGCCGGCCCGTTCAGGTGTGTGTAATCCAGGCTGCCGGTGTTTCCTGTACAAGAGATTGTGGCCGCGGGAAGCAGAGGAGGCCGATTCGGGGTGAAGAAGGGTTGGGGGTGGGAAATCGTATATCGCCAATTACCGGTTGTTTTGTCTCCCACTGGAAGCTCCTTGAGGCTGCTTTCTCGTACACCGTTTGCTGGTCTCTGATAGGAGTCCGAGATGGCGGATCCACGCTGCGTTAGCTGGTAGGGGACCTCTGCATGAATCTCTCCTCGCTCTCCATTCTCTGTCAGTTTTCTCTCTCCATTTGGTGCTTGGCTGAGTTCTTTATTTCTGCATTTGATGTTTTAGGGTTTCAGGATTGTTGTTTTCTCTTTTTGGCTTAGTTTTTCGGATCTTTGCTATGGAGGGACGACGTGGTGCTTCTGCCTAGAGCTCCATTTTGCCCGAAGTCTTTCTCTTATTTTGCAAAGGTTTCAAGCATGCATGCTGCTTAAAGATGCATGTATCAGTAAGTATAATACCAACAGCAGTAGTGATGAAGTTAGAGAAACCGATGGCCCACCTTCAGCCTTAAGAAAAAAAAAAAAGCATGCATTCATTAATGTGTATGTTGAGCCTTGCAGCTCCTACGGTGCATGGTCGTACATGAATCAGACACAGAGCCTGCCCGTCAAGGCACCTCAGAGTTACAGAGATCTAAGATCTATGGGAAGATAACCTCAGTACAAGATAGAAAGGGAAAGTGCAGGAGGTAGGTGCAGGCAAACTGCCATGGGAATTCACATCAACAAAAGAGACTTGAAGTCATCTAAAGCTTATCAAGAAATGCCTTCTGGAGTTGGTGGCCTTGGAACTGTCCTTGAAAGATGGATAGAATGTGGACACTTGAAATTGGTGTATGGCTGGGGGCAAAGGCACTCTTGAGTTTATCTTTTTATAACTCTCAAGAACTCTGTACTAATCAAATAAATGACTTCTGTAGATAGAATTTAAGGACAAGCTCACTCACCCGGAAGTCCCTGGGCACTTGAGAAGCAGCTGTGGTCACTATAGTCTCTTACCTTCCACTGCACCAGCTCTCCTGGGTTTCCAGTGTCAGTCTGTGTCTCTTGCCGGCTTTCCTTCTACCTGGCTTTGAATTTTGTGTCTCTTCTTTGTCTGCACATCTCCTTAGGTCATCTCATCCATGTCCTCAGCTTTATATGTCAGATCTCTTGAGCTCTAGACTCATTTCTACTTGGTATCTCTTCTCAGATTCCCTTGAGATCCCCTAGAATCTCAAAATTAACATGTTTGAAAGGATCTTTTCATTTCATTCTTTCCCCATACAGCGCAGGTATTCATGTACATTTGAGTACGTGCACCATGTCGCAGGTATTCATGCACACCTGCGTACATGCACCGTATCTGTCTCCCTGTCCTTGTCTGTCCTTCTCATATCTTATCTCAGTGTATGGCACCACTATATACCCAGTTGGATCAAGCTAAAAACCTAGGCGTAGTCTTTGATTCTCTCTTCCCACTCCTCATCCAGTCTGTCGGCAGGTCCTATAGATTTTGCCTCCAAAACATGTTCTTAATTGTCTTATTGTAATTGCCCCTTTTCTCCATGTCCACTGCCTCCGTCCTAGCCCAGGCTGCTGCATTTTTCACCTAGACTACTTCAGTACCTCATACTGTATCTCTTGCTGCCCTATACTCTACCTAAGAATAAAGCAACTGGAGTGATAATCAAAAACCTAAGTCAGATCATGTTTTTAGTTTAAACTTTCCAGGGGCTTCCCTAGGCCCTGAAAATAAAATGCGGGCTCCTTTTGTGGCTTCCAGTGTCCTTTCCTCTTCTTTTATGCCACTCCACTCCACAGTGAGGAAAGACAGTCCCTAAACCCTGAATCTGAAGCACTCCCACCTCCTGCCTTGCCTCCTCTTCTTGGTTACTGCCTGCTGTGTTGGGCATTTGGCTAGCCCTGCAGGAGCCCCTCAAGGTGTGGCGTATCTATCTATTTCCTCTTTCATTAAAGCATACTTTTACTAGGCAATACTTGTTTAACTGAGATAGTTATTTAATGGGCTTGGGAGAAAAAAAGAATAAACCAAAACCCTACAGTAAAATGTAAAAGGCCATAATATTGATGTTTTCTGATTGCCTTAAGAGATCTTACTTTGTGAGGTTTTATGCTCTTTCCTTTTTATTTATTTGATTTGCTGTAACTTCAGGAAGTTCAGCTTCCTGGATTCTTTGTTGTAGAACTTAGTATTAATATTTACCCTTTCTGATTTCAAAAAAAAATTTAAATGAATTTCTTTTGTGTTTTTACCTTTCAGTAAGGGAGATTCTTACCTGCATTTATTACCATGAGGAAGTGATCCCATACTCTTCATGAGTTTCCCTCTTTCTGGATCTTTTATATCTCTGTTACATCTCTGACTGTCTTTAAGGATGTTTATATATTCCATGTACTGTTTCCCAAATATGGATGGCCCGTGATTTAATATGAGGATTCCTAATGTATTTTTAAAAAAATACAGAATATCCACACCAAGTCAGATATAGGTATATACAAAGTATCGACTCACTGCTGGATGTGATCGTAGCTATAATCTGAAGTGATTTTTGGAGGTAGGAGGAATCTGAGACTTTGGGTAGTTAACTGTCTTGCTCAAAAGCAGCACGTTTTGAGTTGGTGGCAGAACAGAAGTGGCAGCTTCTTCCCTCCTACCTTTTCTATCTTTGAGTAAATATTTTTTGAGCACTATATTGTAACAAATGAATTTTTTTAAATGTTTGATAATTTATTGTGTGATCATCGACAAGTAACTTTAACCTCTTTTAGCCTCAATCTTGGGCTAAAAATGGAGATAATCACAGAGTTGCTATGATGATTAAGTAGCATATTGCATGATTAAATTATGCAATACAAAGTGGCTAGCCCTTAGTATTCAGTATATTTGAAGTACTGATGCCACACAAAAAAATTGCTAAGAGGATGAGGAATCTCTCATTCAGTAAAAATTTCTTTTATCTGTCTTTATCAAAGCAAGTTATATTGTTACCAAAAAAAAAAAAAACTCATGTTTTTGTTATATAAAACATTGCACCAAAAACAAGATTGTGTGTGTTGTAAAACCGTAGCTTTCAAGATGAAGATCAGGCAAAGCACACATCATATGAGCCCTTTTAGCTTGGGCCTCATCTACCTGGTGTCACCCCCAGTTACTCCCCTTACCTGCTCTTTTACTCTGGAGGTTCAGAAGCATGTGCTGTATAAGACAGGCCAGTCCATGTCACATCTCACATCTTCACACCTTCATGGGTGCTCTTCTCCCTGCAGGATTGCCCTGGTGACCATTTTATTATTTGATAGGACGTGGCACAGAGTAAGAACTGGATAGATCATTTGCGGGTGAATGTGCAAACAAAGGATTGAATGGGATATTTTTATCTTGCACAGGTACCTGTTTGGATAGTTGCAGCTCGTCCCAGAAAAATCACTCTAGTGTAATTGCAACCTGTTGGTTTACAGGTAAGAGAAGGTTAAGTTTGCAGCTTTGTAATTTTACTTGAAAATTGTTTAATAGTATCTTTGGTGATGATGGCATGTATGCGATGGTTTGATCAACTGAGTGAGTGATTGCCTATAATGGTTGATTCCAAATGATTTTTTTTTTCTCATCCCTTTTCTTAAATTGTTTATAACAGGGGAAAGGAAGAAGAATGCCTTACTCCCGCCGCCTAAACTGCTTGTTTAAAATGAAAAGTCTGCTTTTTTTTTTTTTTTTTAACAATGCTGTTGTGATCATGAGACAAAAATCCTAAACCAGAAATCTTTAATTGGTGTGCTTTTGTGATTAAATTTGTTTCTCTTAGAATATGGCCTTCTGGTAATTCAAAATCCTTATGGAGAGAAGTTTAAATTAACTATAATAATAATAGCAGTAGTAATCACCATTATTGGGTATTTAATTTTTGTCTGGCAGATTGCAAAGACTTTTGCATCCATTATTTCATTTAATCTTCATAGTAATCCTGTGAAATGTTGATAGATATCCTCATGTTACTACTAAGGCTAGGGAGTCCCTGAGTGGTACAAATGGTTAAGCACTTGACTACTAGCTAAAAAGTTGGTGGTTCAGACCCACCCTGAGGTACCTCAGAAGATAGGCCTGGTGATCTGCTTCCGAAAGATCACAGCCTTGAATACCTTATACAGCAGTTCTCCTCTGCATACATGGGGTCTTCATGAGCTGGAATCTCCTAGACGGCACCTGATAACAACAGCTAAGGCTAAATGGTTTCTACAAGGTCACACAGCTCTTAAGTGACTGCATTATGATTGAACCCACACCTGTTTGATGCCTCAGCCATTATGCTAAATCGTTCTTTCTTGTTTTGCCATGTATTTATGCCTCTCTGCATCCATATTATGATAGTAGGATGCATTCTTGTTTTTGCTTAAAATAACATGCTTTTGTGTGTCGTTTATCCTTTCTCTATGGTTTAACAGCTACTCAGGTGAAAACTTTTCATTTACTGTTGTGTTAACGGCACTTAGAATTTTTTTTAAACAGCTGTGGGAAGGGGAGTAGATTATTTTGTTTTCACATGTGGTATTTTTTTCAAACTGGCATTTCAGTCTAAACAGATTCTCTCTGGGCAGAACCCTGGAGTTTGATGTTTCTTTTACTAATTTGTGAAAGACAGTATCTCAGGTTGGTGGTGGTGTGTGGTATAACTGCAAGAGCACAGTGCATGGATAGCAACAAAGCAACCCATTTACACTTACGGTCAACAAGCAAAGAATCTTAAATGAGAAAGTGCAGCTGCATGTTAACTGATTGTCATTCATCATATGTTTATATTTGCATTTGAAAAACTTGGAATAAATGTAAAAAAAAATTCTTACTGTTAAAGATAGTTAACATCTATATATTAAAAGCATAACCCTATCAATTTCACACTCTTTAATACTGCAGTGGATGACTGTTTATTATATATTGGTCTGCCAGCACTTGTGGGTGGGTGGTATGCTTTATGAATCCAACTGAATAACATGTCTAGACAGAACCAAATGTGTAATTATGTAAAATCACAGCTTAGGAATTATGACTGAAAAACTTTAATAGTTACTGGCAACTCCATGCCATTTTATATTTCTTTGTTAGGATCCTTATTGAGTTAGGCTATTATTGTTGAAGAGTTAAAGTTTAATTTTAGACAAAACAGAGAATGTCTAAAATGTGTTATCATACAAAGCCAGTTTTATAAGTAAAATGTATTTTCCATTCAAAACCTTATGTTTCTTGATCTGGAGAATTGAATAAGCCTAAATGAGAATTATTGCTTCCAACATTAAATTTAGCCAGAAGCTTTTTGAAGCCAACTTAATAGGACATCAAAAGTGCCACCTTAAATCCAAATTTCTTTTAAATGGAGACTAACTGGCATTGTGTACATTTTTTAAAACAGTTCACACTGTTCTAGCATCTAATTTTTATCTTCTGCCTTTCCCCTCAAGCAGTCTTCTAGACAATATATTCTCCTCCAGCTACCAAATCTCAATTCTTCACAGGCGAGAAATTGCCAACATTTCTTCTTCCATTACTGACCTATCCTCTTCCAAGTGGGCTATTGTAATCAAGCTGCAGTGAACATTTTATCACTGAGTTTAGAAGTTCTGCGTATATCCTGGATACCAGACCTCCTTTTTTTAAACTTAGGTTTTGCAACTATTTTCTTTCAGTTTGTGGCCTGCCTATTTTCTTTTTAGCAGTGTCATTTGATGAGCAGAAGTTTTTCAGATAATGAAATCTAATTTTTCAATTTTTTTCTTTTATAGGTATTACTTTCTATGTCTTAAGTAACTGTTATCTCCCCCCCAATCCTGCACGTACTCTCCTATGTTTTCTTCTGGAAGCTTCATGGCTTTAGCTTTTATGTTTAGGTCTGTGATCCTTCTTGAATTAATTTTTTTCACATGCTGTATTATTGACAGTCCTTTAAGAGAGAGATTACCTCCATTTTATAAACAAGGATCTTGGCAGTCTGAGAATTTGCGATTGTTCCGTTCTAAATATTATGTGTAATAGTGCCTTTGATTTGGAATTTTAGAACCTGTTGAGGGAGGATCACGATGAAGATGTATGTTAGGTCATACCTGTCTATAGCATTTTGGTCAAAACATTTTTGAGACATACCTCCATGATTGTAACAAAAATATTGTCATTAACAAATGAATGCATTTTTGGTAACTGGGTTCATCCCCATAAGAAGACCAGTGGTATTAGCTGCAGAACAAGACTGCAACCTTAGTGTGCGTATACTTTATCAGACAGAGATGTTGTGTTTCTGTACAGATGTTCTAGGAAACTGACCTGCTAAGATTTGCCTGTTGAGTCAAGAGGCTTAATTATATTGCAATAAGAAGTTGCAGTGAAAGAATGAAATTGATTCAGTTGTGTTAACCTGCCCTAATTAATTGTTTTTGCTAGGTAAATTATGGGGCTCAACATAGATATCAATTTTTAGTTCTACCATCGTTATTCCTTATTCCTAGCATTTCAGATCTGCCCCCCTGACATTGCAGTAACATCACCAGTACCAGCATCTGAGGCTAAAGAGAATTCTTAACACTAGTTGATGGCATATGTTTTGGGTGTTACCTGCTGCAAGCATTGTGTTTATCACAAAAATCCCATTTTAAAGCAGAAGTTAAGAAATATTTTCACAGTAACACACTCGGGGTGATTTGTGTGGGAAACTACAGTTCTCTAGTAAATCTTCTGAATGTGGCTTCTCATAAGTTCTTACAAGTGGCTAAGTTGAAATAGATAATACTGCAATCTGCTGGTAAGCCAGTCAGTTCGGAGATATGCGTTGAGCACGTTAAGGGAGAGTGGAGGGGTTTGGCATATGCTGAATGCGAGTATATCCAAGACACTGTACTATAGGGATATTCAGAGAGGAGCAGGACAGAAAGAAGCTAATGTTACTCCCAGAGGGAGCTTCACTTTGCTGTTGGGCTGCCATCATTAGATGTTATTATTAAACTCATTTTCAACTTGCCATTTGTTGCGGAAAAGGCCTACCCTTCTTTGGCTGAGCAAATGAACAAACCCAGTGAGGACTACTGAGAGATCACTTGAGGATACTCAAATTCCATCGCAAAGCCATCATTGTCCATGCTGCAAATTGTGCGTGTGTCTGTGTAAATACAGAGAAAGCTCACCAGGTTCATGGTACCCTTTTGAAGTGGAATTCTCACTAAGGAAACATTTGCTGTAGTTGATAATTCTAGGACAGTTCCCAGGCTGCTCTTCATTTGTATAGATAAACAACAGCATTACTAGAACCAAGCAACAGTAATAAAATTCACTGTGTTCTAATTGTATCCTCTTAGTAGGGTTATGTTACATTTATTTTTTAACCTAAAAACTGTGCCTAAAGTTGAGATTTTATGTGCATTATAAACTAAATTAAATGCTCAGTGTTTGCCACTATTTCTGATCAAGATGGATTAAAATGGATGTTTATAGTTTCAAGTATGTCGACTGGTTAGCTTTTATGAACTGTTATGTCTTGTGCACAAGAACCAAATTTAATCGTCTAGTTATCTGTTCTTTCACTATATTTTGGAAACAATTTTCTCTTTTATATTAGTTATCTTCGCTATTTAATTTGAAATAAGTCATGCAGTGTGTGATTTTGGTCTATAAATCAGTTAATATGTGTAGTGTGTAATGATTTTAGGGCAAAATAGCTCTGTCTCCTAACACATAGACAGAGTTTGAGAACATTTCTACAGAAAAAATTTTCCTAACTGCTTGCAACAACACCCTTTAATTGCAATGTGAAACTAGCAGTTCCTCTCATTGCCATTTCAGGGACCAGATTTATATCGGCATTAATTACTGTTGGTTATCAGTGGGGGATTCTTTGAGCCAACACTGTACATGTGTGGGTTTTTACAGATGTACCATTGGATGTTGCATTGTCCAAGTTAGTGTTGACTATAATTTACAGGTAAAGAACTGTCTTGTTTTTATAGATATCAGATTATTTGAATCAAGTAATATTTACTTGGCTATTTATACGTTAATATGTTTAAAAAGAAATTTCTCTATGAGAAAGCATTAATCATTCACAATTTATGTGATCAGATGATGGCACTGACGTTCTTATTGTGTCTTCATAAAATAGCTAATTTGGTCGTGTTTAGTGCCAAGAGCAGATGCACTTTGTAATGTAACAGTACACAAAGCCCAAATCTAAATGCATTATTTAGAACTATACTAAAATCTCTGTGTTATTTTAAAAAGTAATTGTGTATTTAGGGTGATTAAAAAACTTTTGGACGTGGATAGTGGTGATGGTAGCACATTGCGGTGAATGTGATTAATAACTCTGAATTGTACACTTAAAAATGGTTAAAATGGCAAACTTTTTGTTATGTATATTTTACCCCAGTAAAATTTTAAAAAGAAAGTAATTGCAGTTTGCATTGTGTCACATTTTCAAAAAAGTACG